TTAAAAACAGATTTTCTATAGCTTATCCTAGACTTTGGGCTACTTAATCCCCTGAATTGTTTGCTGCTAGTTCTGAGGACAAATAAAAGTACCTGTCATCTAAACGCTCCCTGGAAGTATAAGTAACACATTCTTCCACATCCCTCCAAATCACGTATCTATAGTATGCAGTTTCTCTCAACAGACTGAAACCAGAGTAATCATGTTTCTGCCTGCCTGGCCTACTAACCATCCAGCTTGGTTTGTTAGCTTTTTGGTTTCCCACACGTAAAACATGTTATCTCAAAACTGAGCATGGAAGAGGCACTCCAGTGCATGTGCCTGGAGATTTTTTTAACTTAATCTTATACCTGATGACACAAAAGTATGTTTGCGTTTATGCTGACCAAAGGCGGAGTTCCCTCTTGGAGGTCACTGTGTTTTGCTGCTGTGGGGACTACCAGAAAGAACTAGATAACAGAAAGGACAAGATGCATGCGGATGTGGAGGCCGTAATGCTCCAGCAATAAGAACCTGAGGGCTGAAAGCATTTGTGCCGCAGCGGGAAGGATCTATCAGAGCAGCACTCCAACCGCACCTGACAGGCACCAAGGGACAGCGGTGGAAGTGCCTGCAGACACACCGGGTTCCTTTCCCCTTCTCCTTTCTACCCCTCCCCTGTCCACACCTACAGCCTTGATCATGGCACTCATTGCAGTCTGGGGCACAAGGTGATTAGTAAGCTTTTCAAACCTTTTCAAAAAGAAGAAAGTCTGAAAAGAATGATTAAAAAACTCAGCATTGTTTCCCACAGCTAAAGGCCTCTCTGCATTAATTCTGTTCCCTTTAAAGTCTGGAATGCGTTTGTTGGTTGGTTTTGGGGGGTGTGGGGTTTTTTGTGTGTCCTAAGCAACTTCAAATTTCCATAAATCTGAAACACATTTAAGTTTTGGAAAACAATTGTTTGGCAGTTGTTTTTATGAGAAAAACATACTGCAAACACAACTCCAGACTGTGCTACAAAGACCTTTCAGGTTGGATTGTACTGAGCAATGCAGCACCAGCCTCAATATTTGAGCAAACTGGCACATCAGCCAAGCCCAGCACACAAACCCAGGGTCTTAAATGCAGTTTACAGGTAAATGTGATAGTAGGCTCACACTGATTAGTCTCTCAACCAAGGTAATCTGGGAATCAATCCACGAGGGTTTTGTATTTTGAGAGTCGAGGATGACCGATTTTTTCAGAAACAGAACCATAGCTGATTCAAAAAGGATTGCATGGATGCATGGAAGTAGGAGTGGAAGCTTAATACTTGTGCATGAAAGCAAGAATCATAGAATCACAGAAACATAGAATCATAGAATCATAGAATCATAGAATAGTTTGGGTTGGAAGGGACCTTTAAAGGCCATCTAGTCCAACCTCCCTGCAATGAGCAGGGACATCTTCAACTACATCAGGTTGCTGAGAGTCATGTCCAGCCTGACCCAGGATGTTTCCAGGGATGGGGCATCTACCACCTCAATGGGCAACCTGTGCCAGCATTTCACCACCCTCATTGTGAAAAATTTCTTTCTAATATCTAGTCTAAATTTGCCCTCTTTTAGTTTAAAACCATTACCCCTTGTCTTATCACAAGAGTAAGTACAACTGCTGAAGTGACTGCTGAGTCCACTAAGATAAAGCCACATCAAAGAGTTACTCACTCCTTCCAATACCGTTGAGGGGCAACGGATGATAATCAGTGTTCTGTCTTTACACATGGTTTCAAAACGGCGTTAGAGGTGGTATAGTCTGATAGCCCAGAGAGATACTTTTTTTTTCATTTAATCCAGACTCAATCCAGATTGAGTCACTAAATACATTAATGACGTAGATTATTTTTCAAATCATAAAAAATCATAACTGTAGACTATGTTGGTTTTTTCCCCTGTAAAGCACTTGCACTTGATCAACATGAATAAGGACAAAGCCTTTTCCAAACTCAACATGGCTCTAAATGTCTCAGACTCTCTTCAAAGCACCTGAAGAGCACACTTTCCAGCAGTGCTGAGAACATGCCCACTAAGCAAAAACCTCTCCATTTGAAGTGTAGTATACTGTTACGTCAAAGTTGCCAAACCTGGTATCATTTGAAAGACTCCGTCTAAATTTCAATAGAAGTATTGGGCTAAATTGCCAGTGAGAATTTGGAAACTCCTGCAGTTTGTAAGATCAGAAAAAGACTTCAATATTTAACCATGTGCCTAAAAACTAAGATACAAAGAGAAATGCATAAAATGTTACTCTTTGACCTTCATTACATTAGGATTTTTAAAGATATAAAGTGGACAATAGCAGCATCAAAAATCTCATTTCATAGCTTCAAGGATCAGTGCAAACATCCTCTATTTACACACAAATGACAACAGATTAGCTTTCGGCAGATTGGATAGGAAGTCTATGTCGCGCATCATGTCACATTATAATGAGGAAGGAAGACAGGAGAATTTTAGAACAGAAGAGAGAAAGTTGGGTTTAGGTTTCTGACATAAACCCTTACAATAAAGTGTCATGACATTCCATTTGTCTGGTAAAGACTTGTGGTAAAGACTATGGGGAAATACAAATATAGGAAGCAACAGCTGTAAAATCCTGTTTTAAAATCTCAGCACCATCAATACACAGAACTCGCTGTGCTCTCATGCTCAGTAGTACAGTATATGCTGAACTTTCAATGAAAACAGGAAAAAAAACAACTTCTATTTTCTTTATCTTCAGTATATGTTTTTGTCTATATTTTGCTTTTCATTGAATTGTGAAGGCCTGAAGTTAAATGTTTGTCTGGGTCTTCTGCTCATGAGCTTTTCTCATACATACATTTAAAGTTATGTTATAGTACACTGTTACAGAAAGTATTTCAAAGCACACATAATATGCAGATAATTTCAATCCCTCATGGTTTAGAGCCTGAGTCACCTTCAAAGCATTGAAGAAATAGGAACAAGTTGTGCTAGGATTATGTCATGATGATGAAGTACAGATATTTCTAGCATGGAATTCAAATAAGCCATTCTGGACATGTACTAGTCATGACTAGTTTCACATGACAACTATTTTTTTCTTTTGTTTTGTGTGTTCTTTTGTTTGTTTAGTATTCCATGTTCATGCAATAACAAGCCTTTAAACTGAGATTCCAGATCTGATTGGCAAGAAGTCCAGTACAGATACAACCTGTGCAAATTCCATATTTGAGGAAATGCATTCCTGATGTGTGTCTAAAGTCATGCACACGTTGAGGATGTGAGGGAGAGAGGAAAAGGCAGGATCATCATGTTGTACATTGCCGCTTTTCGCTGTCATTTTGATCATCCTCACTGCTGTTATGCTACGCTGTCAATGCCAAATGAGACTACCTCACTTGACTTGACAAAAGCAAGCATAGTTTTTCCTGCAGCTGACAGCACTCTTTCTCCAGTAGTCAAGTATTTGTTATATCAACTCTTAAGCTTCACGCAAAAAAGCAGAATAATCCCTTGTGGGGTTTATTCATAGGCTTCCTATGGAGACATACTCAAGTACCAGTTAGCTTTAAACTTTCTTGTTTAGGGAGCCAACAGTACATGCAACAGACTGTTATAGTGTATAGTTACAATATATAGTTATAGTATAAGGTATAATCCATTGAAACCACAGAGCACCCCCACCAGATACTCAGTATTTGCCAAGCTGAATTAAGTGGGATTTCTAGAACCGAGAGGGGAACTTTGGGACACCTCAAAATGACTGAACAGCTCAAAGAAATCAGAGACTATATTTTGCCTCCTGCATTTGGCAGAAAAAAAGAATACTTGCTTCTTTTTGTAGCACACACCAAAGTACTTAAGATTATAATCATCAGAAAGATTGGGAATTCTTTCTTTCGGCTGAATAAATGCATGGCAAAAATTCCAGTTTTGTATTCTTTCAAGCCTCAGTTTTTGCTCTCAGGATGCAAATTCTACATCATGTTCTCACCACTGAAAAGAAGAGTTGCTCTTCTGTGATACCTAGAGAGCAGAGGGAGTAGTTAAGTAGTAAGATTGCAGCATTTCATGTTGTTTATGAAGATGTTTATGAAAATGATTTCCTATTATCAAAAAGATGCAGTGCCCAAAAGTGCTGTTCCCTTTATAAGTTCACATTGTTGGAAGTACTAAGGGGTCTCTTTTCTCCTATACAAACAGCCTCTGTAAGGTCATACAACCCTCTAGGCATAACATAATGACAAAGACATTTTTGGAGGATGATGCGTAAGTGTTCATTACTCACTCTGTACGTTATTTGCACTTTCCCTGTCCCCATCCCTATCCTGAGAAATTTATTAGTAATACAGGATATAAGATTATAAGCATTACAACATTATGTAGTGGACACAAGAAGTCCATATGGATCTCTGCTGAATGAGACATGGAAGACCTGCTTATGTCTTCTTGCTTACTTTTTTCAGTGTAACTTCCGTGGGACTACATAGCAATGTTTTATACATAACTGTTCTTCCAGCAACATGTAGCCATTTTGTTCTATGGTTTAGAATCCTAAAAGGTTTGATTCTATTCCTCTGAAATGTGCTTGAAAGAATCCTCTATTTTCTAGAAATCCTGTTTGTATTCCTTGCCAGGCTTTTGCATGCAAGCAACAATTAATTGATGTGGTTGTGGAGGACCAATGCTCCCTTTTATTAGAGGGCTGCTTAATGTTCTGCTCTCACACCATAAATTTAGGGAAAATTATTCAAACTTCTCACAAATGTAATAATAAAATTTCACCGTGGCGTTTTAAACTGCATTCTTCAGTATTCTCTTTCTACAAAATTGAAAGCTCTTTTAAAATAACACATGATTCTGGAGAAAAAAGTAAATGGCTCCCTTTTGAAATAACTTGACAATATTGTAATAAGAAAAATCTGAAACAAATAAATGACATCTATTCAAAAGAATCATGCCCGTTCCTAGTATGAACAGATGAGTGAATAAAATGAAACAGGATATAATTTTAAGAGAATTACCATATTTATTTTCTATTAAAAAATGACAATACATCAAGGTTTAAAATATAAATATCAAAATTATTGCACAGTTAGCCAACTAGCTTTGTTTGGCAGCAATGTTTTACAACATCATTATGCAATGATATGCTCTGGCAGATTAAACTCCACAAAATCCATTGTGTACCTTTTCTCTTTACATCATAAATCATCCTACAACAGTAGAATAATTGTTCTGGTGTATGTATAAAACATCATACAGTAATACAATACATGCTTTATGAAAGCTGGAAAGAGCTAAAGAAGGGAGAATGTCTCTTAATGCTTCCCTTACACCCTTGACTCAAACAAATTTAAGTAACAGATATTTACCCTCCCATTTGCAGTCATTTAACATAGGCAGTTCCAAGTATACATACAAATACACATATATTAAGAGGATTTGTGATAAATAGCTATTGCTTTTATAGGTAGCTTAAAATACTCAATTTTCTGTATGTCTTTGAAAAATTAATGTCCCAGTTTAGTCTATAAAAAAATAAGAGTTCGTCCACAGGTAAATATCCTTAATTAGAATGCGACTCTGTGAATGTCCCAAAGAGTTTGTCCCAGTGGGTGAAGTAAGGAGCATAGTTTGATTTGAATTTCAGATGATGGAGATCATGATGTGGCGCTCCTCCGTACAAACCAAAAGGCACAAGTCGATGAGTTGACCATGGAAGGTCGTATCCTGAATGGTCCTCCACAGACAACCAAATGTTTACAAGGAAGAAAGCCATTTCTGTCAAAGGATGGCATCCAAGGAGCACTGGGTTGATAGCAGCAAAAAATCCCAGTGACAGTAATTCCCACACACTGGAATACTGTGTAGTAAGAGCAAATGTTGACACATGCTTGTGATGCACCTTGTGGAAGGTCTTGTAAAGCCAAGGCACCTTGTGGTGAAGCAAATGCCACAGGAAATACTCAAAATCAAACAGAAGCAGGCAAACTCCTACTTCCAGCAGGACCTTAGGCAGCTCTGGAGCTATCACTGGTAGATTCATTGGTTTCCAGTACCAGTGGAGAAAGGTCACCGGGAAGATCAAAACAACATGGTGATATGCACTTTGAATAATGCAAGACACCATCATTCCAAGAGTTGGATAGTTCTGCGGCTGGATTTTGTATTTTCTCAAGTTTGGTAGTCTAGTGCTTAAAAAGTCCAGTGCAATATATGGAAGACAGAAAGCCAGGTATGCTGTAAAAGAAAACAGTACTGGAAAAAAAGGTGACTTGATCAATGGCCCTTTTGCTGTGATAAAGTCCCAAAGAGACTGAAGGCACAACCTGTCCTGCTGTCCATCCATCACGTAGCTGAGCAGCACTCTGTCTGGCAGGCTGCAGTTCATGCTGATTGCAGTCTGAGAGGTCTGTAAATCCTGCAAGCCTTTATCTAGCCTGCTCAAGGGAAAACTCCGCCCATCAGAAATCCTCCTTGCTTAGTAATACGTAGCTTTAAAGAGGAAGTTCCCTTTCCTGTTATACAGAAGTGGTATAATGCGTTACAATCTCAGAACAGAATTAGCTGGCCAGGGTAATCACTGGAGCTCTACAAAAGACTTGCCTGATAGGTAAAAAGGCAGAAATGCAGAACTCTAACACTGGAATTCAGTGAAAGAGGGTAGGAACGTTTTCCACTTCACTTACTGCGCACACTTGAAAAACTGCTGTCTCTTACTAATTTTAAATTGTGTCCTCCTTTGTTATCCTTTTGTCTTTATAGGTAAGGAAATACAACCTACTATTGACTTTTTTATGTGACTGCTACCAAAGATGCATAGGTACCTAAAACCCAGGTCTGACCTGTGGATGTTTGGTGGGTAATGGACGTGTGCAAACACACATTTTCTTAATGATCCCTTCGGTATACAACAGGCTAAGTCAAAAACCTTAAGGAGACCTACACTATGCTTCCAGTCTGAATGTGGTGGCTGTGACTCATCTCCATCTACCTTTAAGGTCATGTTCTCCTTTATGCTCCAGTATCTACTTGACATGACAAAATCCACCTGACTTGGCTAGCTGCAAAATTGAGCCAAAAACTTTTGAAGAACAAAATATCCCCCAGTTTCTGGGTGGAATACAAGGTAGAATATAATTATGCTTCCAAACAGATACTTAGTGACAAGTATTATTGCATTATTACAATATACACTCCACATCTCAGCAGCTCTTTGAGCAATATGATATGGAAATCACCCTTTAGTCAAGTATGAAACTAACTTATGTAATTAAAAGATCCACTGGTTAGACCTGTGTCCTTTAAAGGATCTTCCTTTGACCATAGGCAAGCACACAGCAGAGAGCAGCTAGCAGGCTTGACTCCAACATTTCTAATTTGCTAAAAGTATTTTAGGGGTAAACGATGGAGGTTTTGATTTAAACATTAAGACATCACTTCTTTTGTGCTTTTTGAAAAAGACAAAGAAAGCTTTGAACATTTAGGGAAACAGAACTTGCCATCAGTTTCCTATGAACTCACCTCTTTTGTAGGTACAGCATTTATTCTAATATTGGAAATGAGCTCAACTTCCTGGATGACTTTATTAGCTTGTTCAGACGATTTTAGTTCTTTACTATTGAGAAAAGAAATCTGATGGGGGGAAATAGAAAACAGAATTTCCTTGCTTCTCAATGATTAAGAATAATTAATTAGCAGTAATGTTTTCTGAACTACTCATCGACTTCTGCTAATACTTAAGTTTGCTTTCAGTCTCAACAGTTTTCGAGATTCTGCTCCTAAGGAAGCACAGATTTTGCTCTCTCCTTAGTCTTCAAGGAGTTTACTGAAACAGTAACATTATCTGTGCTACTATTCAGGCAATCAGAAGTTCTTTGTCGGAGACAGGTACGGTACAGCCTTCAAACACTCTTCCCATTGCATATACATTTTAGAAATAGATTCAGCTTCTCTGCTGTGGTGAGACAGTTCTGTTGAACTCAATTAATTCAAACTGTTGAATGTAGTGAAACTAAAATCCAGTGAGAGACACTAATTTAATGGATGAGGATCTATATCCAAGAGCTTCATTTCAATCTTCTGATTTTACTTTATCCTGACCCACATTTCACAATCAGGACATGAAAAATGCATTTGTAACTGAATCACCATCTGGGTCTGAAAATATTCTTGTGAGGGATGCTTTCTATTGATTTATATAGTTACAACCAGAAATCAAGCCTCCTAGGTGGGATACGTGATTCTCTGTTTTATTAGAATTATGTAGGGACTAGATTTGTTCTATAATGTATTCCAAACCTGCCTAAAGGGAGATTGACAGAAATTGCTCAGGTGCCTTAAAGACTAATCCCTAATAGCCATGTGAAGTCTCAAGAAGTCTTGGAACCACTGCTGCCTATAGGCTAAAATTTAAAGAACAGGCATTTTGCCTGCAGGTTAGCTCACAAAAAAATATTGTTAAGTCCCCTAAGGAAAAATAACGGAATTCTGCACTCTTATCACTAGTATATCCTGCAACATAAAGGCCAAGCATGGCGCAAGGCCCCCACTCCAAGGGGGCTCAGTCAGGCTCAGCAGGTGAGTGTGCTCATAAAAAATGAATCCTCATGCCTCAGGGAGGACAAACCCTTACTGTCCAGAAGCTGATTTCAAGCTGTTTGGCTTAGCCACCACAAAGCACTTACCACATCCTTCCACTCCGCTAATTCAGGTTTCTTTGTCAGCACGAGGTACAACGTGAAGAAGAGACAAAGTACACACAAATCCTTTCTCAGTGATACAACCCCAGCTTTTTTCACTCAGCTTACGATGCTGCCAAACTCTCCCATGTGTTACAAGACTTTACAAGGGTCTCTTAAAAAAATCAAGACTCCTGCTACAGAGTTTAGGTTGAAGGGCACATAGTTTGGAATGAGGCCCCGCAAAGGGTCTTAAATAGATTCCACATGAGCACAAAATGCAAGTACCTACCCCAGGCCGCACTGTCAGGTACAAGTGATGAGGTAAACAGCAAAGCAGTAAGTGGGTAGGAAAATGAGGAAAAGCGAGCACCAGAGAAAACCAGGATCAACATGCCGAAACTGATGTCACGGCGGCAGCAGCAGCAAAATTTTTTTCCCTCTTCCTCTCCTCCCGCTCTGTATGGTAGGATGATTGTTGTGCCAGAGAGAAGGCACCATCCCAGCGTATGCTGAGCCTCCTGCCCGAAACAGGGTGCTGGGGAAGAGGCTCGAGACCTCGTTGAGGACAGTAGCAGGGCAGCAGGATAGCGACCAGAGCAAAGGCAGGCAGAGGCAGTCCCTTCTTTCATCATAAAAGCAGCTGTTACCGTGCTGGCAAGACACAATAAATGCGAGGCCCTCGCCGCCTGACTCACCTTTCCCCAGGAGGCCGCAGAGCACGGAGCCGGGCAGCGTCCGGCGGAGCCCAGCTC